GCTCTTTGATTGTAGGTGAACTATAAATCCCAGTAACTACAACTCCCAAATGTCAAGGTCTATTTCCCACAAACTCATCTGTGTTCATATTTGGGCATATTGAGTATTCGTGCCAAGTTTGGTCCAGATCCATCATTGTTTGAGTCCACAGTGCTCTCTGGATGTAGGTGAACTACAACTCCCAAACTCAAGGTCAATGCCCACCAAACCCTTCTAGTGTTTTCTGTTGGTCATGGGAGTCCTGTGTGCCACGTTTGGTTCAATGCTCTTTGATTGTAGGTGAACTATAAATCCCAGCAACTACAACTCCCAAATGACAAAGTCAAAAAATTTTGAGTGTCATGCATTGGCTTGTTAGGTGTATGCTGTCCAAATTTGTTGTCAATTGGCCCACTGGTTTTTGAGTTCTGTTAGTCCCACAAACTGACATTACATTTTTGTTTTTGTTTTTATTTTTGTATGTGTGTGTGTGTGTGTGTATGGAAGCACAGACTATAGTAATGTTACATTAATACTACTGTTGCATCACAGTAGTATTCTCAATTTTCATTGGGCAACATGGCTAAAAATCACATTTGAAAACAAGGGCTGTGTTTTGATCTGCCTACAAGTGCCACATCACATTTGAATGTATATACAATTGAGGAAATTTAACTATGTTTACTACCTTATTCCAAATCATGTTGGGGGAAGCTTATAAAATGAGCAGGAATGGCAAATTTTAACATCTTTTTATGCTCAGACACCTGTATTTTTCTTTTGCAAGCCAGAAATAAACATTATTTTGGGATTGTGGAACATGGTGCATATGCATAATTAGGTAAAAGCAGAATCTCATAATACAAAAAACATCTCTCTAATTGTTTTTAGCAACAGTTGGAAAGCAGCTTACAGAATATCAAGCTCTGGACCCATGCTGTGTGTTCTTTCAATCTCGAAAAGAGAGTATCAGCTTAATTTACAATGTGGGTGAAAAATGGATGTAAAATTCTTGTTTTTAAGTCGAATACAGCATTTGCTAGCAGAACTGATGACATATGGTACAACATTCATCACCACATAACTGTTAATTGCATTTGTATGTATTAGAGTGTGCATATGCAGCTGAAAAATATAACAAGAACTGAGGAGAAATGGTTAAAACCACATGTCATATTTTTATAATGTGCTGAGATGCTGAAAATCTGTAATGCCTTCCTCGGAGAGTACTGAGAATAACGGGCTTTAATAATGTTCAGGGACATTAGTAGCAAACAATACAATGTATTGTCGAAGGCTTTCATGGCCGGAATCACTGGGTTGTTGTAGGTTTTTTCGGGCTATATGGCCATGTTCTAGAGGCATTCTCTCCTGACGTTTTGCCTGCATCTATGGCAAGCATCCTCAGAGGTAGTGAGGTCTGTTGGAACTAGAAAAAGGGTTTATATATCTGTGGAATGACCAGGGTGAGACAAAGGACTCTTGTCTGCTGGAGCTAGGTGTGAATGTTTCAACTGACCACCTTAATTAGCATATAATGGCCAGACAGTGCCTGGAGCAAACTTTTGTTGAGAGGTGATTAGATGTCCTTGTTTGTTTCCTCTCTGTTGTTGTGCTGTTGTAATTTTAGAGTTTTTTAATACTGGTAGGCAGATTTTGTTCATTTTCATGGTTTCCTCCTTTCTGTTGAAATTGTCCACATGCTTGTGTATTTCAATGGCTTCTCTGTGTAGTCTGACATGGTGGTTGTTGGAGTGATCCAGCATTTCTGTGTTCTCGAATAATATGCTGTGTCCAGGTTGGTTCTGCTATGGCTGACTTCTTTGATTGAAGTAGTCTGCAGTGCCTTTCATGTTCCTTGATTCGTGTTTGGGCAATGCTGCGTTTGGTGGTCCCTATGTAGACTTGTCCACAGCTGCATGGTACACGGTAGACTCCTGCAGAAACGAGAGGATCCCTACAACAGCACAACAGAGAGGAAACAAATAAGGACATCTAATCACCTCTCAACAAAAGATTGCTCCAGGCACTGCCAGGCAATCAAATGCTAATCAAGGTGGTCAGTTGAAACATTCACACCTAGCTCCAGCAGACAAGAGTCCTTTGTCTCACCTTGGTCATTCCACAGATATATAAACCCTTTTTCCTAGTTCCAACAGACCTCACTACCTCTGAGGATGCTTGCCATAGATGCAGGCGAAACGTCAGGAGAGAATGCCTCTAGACCATGGCCATATAGCCCGAAAAACATACAACAACCCAAACAATACAATATCTCAGTGTTCAGCACCAATATTAGGGCAGATAATAGGGTTGATGCCAAAAACACAGGTTGAGTCTCCCTTCTCTGAAATGCCTTTGATCAGAAATGTTTTGAATTTCTTTACTTTAAAAATTTGGAATGCCTGTATTTGCATATACATACATAATGAGATATCTTGGAGGTACCTAAATCAATCTAAACACAAAATCCATTCATTTATGTTCCATATAGACTTTATACACATAACTTGAACTTGTTATTCAATATTTTTGATAACTTTGTCCATGAAACAAAGTTTGTATATATTGAACTATCGGAAAGCAAAGATGCCACCGATGAGGATGATTTTGGAATATCTTCCGAATTTCGATTAAGGGATGCTCAACCTGTATTAGGAAAGAACTGGCTAATTGTGAGAATTGATTGTCATATGAAAACCTCCAATCCCAGATTAGAAAACCTCCAGTGCCCAGGATGCGAATGAACAAAGTATGAAAAACATTGGGTTGTTGTAGGTTTTTTTGGGCTACATGGCCATGTTCTAGAGGCATTCTCTCCTGATGTTTCACCTCTAGAACATGGCCTTATAGCCCGAAGAAACGTACAACAACCCAGTGATTCCAGCCATAAAAGCCTTCAACAATACAATGAAAAACATTTCTTTCTCCCCCTCGCCAAGTTGTTTGGTATTTGGAAATGGAAGGTATACTCTTTCTGAGCATGGATTATCCATGAGTGATACTTGCTAACAGATATATTCTCCATGGCATATTTCTTCATTTTCCTTATGGGTCGCCACTAGACATGTGCAAACAGTTCTTACAAAACTTACAAAACTAAAGTTCTGGTGGTGAAAACTAGGGGGCGCTGGTGCTTTGCTTCTACAGTGTTGCTAAAGTTCTGGTGGTGAAAATGTCAGAACTCTTACAAAACTTTCAAATTTCATTATTTTTTCATTATTGGTGATTTTTAGGACAGAACCTATTAGGAACTGCCATTTATAATGAAATTTTGAAAGTTGTGTCAGAGTTCTGAAAGTTTCACCACCAGAACTTTAGCAACACCGTAGAAGCAAAGCACCAGCACCCCCTAGTATTTTTTAATTATTAAGCATTTTTTAACAGTGAGGTATTAAAAAAAAGCCCGGTAAACGGGGAAAGGGAGGTGTGGTGGGGTCGGGAGAGGTGTGGGGGGAAGGGTGGGGAGTATGTGAGTCGGTATAGCAAGGAGAGAGGGGAGGGGAGGAATAAAAAAGGGGGGGAAAGAAGGGTGTTGGCTTCCAATCGTCTCCATCTTTGGCATTCAGGGTCTCGTGGATCAGTTTTTCAGATGTATGGCTAGCCCATTTGCATCTAATCTAATTTTGTTTCTATTTTCAATTTTTTTCTTTTTAATTATATTGAATTAGTATTTTGTGTTTATCATCCATTTATAGTTTTTTTTAAATTAAATAATTTCGTACCGGGGACCAATCTGTTTGTATAATCTTCATGTTTTGGTTTGTCTTCAACATCTGTGTTAGTCTATCCATATTCATAATATCTATTATCTTAAGAATCCATTGTTCTTGTGTGGGAATCTCCTTGGTTCTCCAGTATCTCGCATAACAGATTCTGGCCGCACTTAAGAAAATTAGAAGTTTTTCTTTATTGGTTTCCAGGTCTTCCTCCGTAATTCCCAATAAAATCAGTTCTGGCTTTAGATCAATCTTAACCTCGAGCATCTTTTCAATTGTATCATGAATATCTCTCCAATACGATTTTGTAGTTCCGCAGGACCACCACATATGGAAAAATGATCCAGTTTGTTTTTCACATTTCCAACAAAGTTCGCTTGTATTTTTGTAATATCTGGCCAGTTTTTGTGGTGTGATGTACCACCTATACAGTTTTTTTTTGTCGTGTCAGGAGTGACTCCTGGTGTGAGAGAATTGGCCGTCTGCAAGGACGTTGCCCAGGGGACGCCTGGATGATTTGATGTTTTTATCATCCTTGTGGGAGGCTTCTCTCATGTCCCCGCATGAGGAGCTGGAGCTGATAGAGGAGCTCATCCGCCTCTCCCCGGATTCGAACCTGCGACCTGTCGGTCTTCAGTCCTGCCGGCACAGGGGTTTAACCCACTCCGCTTCCACCCCCTAGTTTTCACCACCAGAACTTTAGTTTTATATCTACTTTAGAACCATTTAGAACCATGGTTGCACATGTCTAATAGCCACAGCCATCCACATTGGACAACTTAAAAAAAAGTCTGAGATTCAATTCCACTATCCTTTCCCCTGTGTGGAGGCCACCAAGTAACACCTTGGCATGGCATTGGTAACACTCCCATGCAGCCACATATCACCCTGGGGTGATAATCACATGGGGTATTTTTCAGCCTCTGACTTTCACAAGAATTCACATATAGCCTTTTAGTCACAGGAAAATATATTCAGGGCAGTTTCCACAAAGGGGCATAATATTTGGTGCAAGTACCTCTAACAAGCTATTCGTACCAATCTCTCTATTTAATCCTACGTCTTAATAGTTTTTTGAATGACAGCAGGAGACATCTAACCTGCCGAGACTGCTATTCCTTGGCATTGGTAGGCTTGCAGTACCAGGAGGAGAAAGGGGCACTAAACACCTACCAACAACAGATTGCAAAACTGTAGATGAAAAAGCTCTAAAATCGGAACCTCTTAGACTTTTGAGGAACAGTGGGCTTGAAATGTCCTTCATACCTGTTGTCTTAAAGAGAAGGACCTATAACTGAGAAATCATATCCAAACTTAGGAAAGTTTATCTTCTACAGAAGCATGTGGCTGACAAGGAGGTGGGTTCAGGATTAGGTTTCTGAAAGCAGACACAGAAAATCCAGGGATGAAGCAAAAAACAAACAAAGAGAAGACACCACAACCAAACCAGAGAAGCTCCGCATTGCTTACAGAACAAAATGAAAGAGAAGAGAAACTAAGTTAAGAAGAGTCGTTGTCCATTCACCCCCCTGCCCTCCCCCATCCCCTTTTGCACTCGCGGGTGTGCTGTGAGCTGCTAAGTCAGAAGGTTGCCATACAATCCACCAATGACCGCAGTTCTTGTTTCACAGCCTGTTCTCTTCTCTTGTCATGGTCCTCTGTGGAGAAAGAAACAAAAGAGTTCATAAGGAAATACCCCAAAAGAGTAATCTATATATATATAAATGCTCTGTGCATAATGAGTACCTTAAAAACATAAGAGCCAATGAACGAAATCACACCAAATTTGGCAACAAAACGTCTCACAACACAAGGAGTGACCATCACTCAAAAAATTATGATTTTGTCATTTGGGAGTTGTAGTTGCTGGGATTTATAATTCACTCCATCATTCCATCAGTTTGGGAGTTGTAGTTCACCTACATCCAGAGAGCACTGTGGATTCAAACAATGATGGATCTGGACCAAACTTGGCACGAATATTCCATATGGCCAAATATGAACACAGATGGAGTTTAAGGGAAATAGACCTTGACATTTGGGAGTTGTAGTCACTGGGATTCGTAGTACACCTACAATCAAAGAGCATTCTGAACCACACGAACAACAGAGTCGGGGCAGACTTCCCACACAGAACCCCTATGACCAACAGAAAATACTTAAGGCCATCCAATCCAACTCCCTTCATCAGGGCAAGAAAACGTAATCAAAGCCCTCCTGACAAAGAGCCATCCAGCCATAGATATAGATGGATAGATATGATTCATACACACACAGAGATATAGTATCATAGATTTGAAAGGGACCCCTAAAGAAGGACAATTATATGTTGCATGTTCCAGAGTAGGCAACCCAAACAATCTACACATAACACTGGCAAAGAAACAGCAAGAAATACTGTATACCCACAAGCATAAAGAAATTACATATATTAGAAACCAACACTTTCTCATTACTTTATTTTCCAGATCACAAGACTGGGCCACAGCAATGCATTTCAATAATAATAATAATAATAATAATAATAATAATAATAATAATAAGTATTGTCGAAGGCTTTCATGGCTGGAATCACTCAGTTCTTGTGGGTTTTTTCGGGCTATATGGCCATGTTCTAGAGGCATTTCTCCTGACGTTTCGCCTGCATCTCTGGCAAGCATCCTCAGAGGTGAGGTCTGTTGGAAATGGGAAAAGAGGGGTTTATATATCTGTGGAATGACCAGGGTGAGACAAAGGGCTTTTGTAAGTTGGGCTGGGTGTGAGTCTTTCCACTGACCACCTTGATTAGCATACAATGGGCTGACTGTGCCTGGAGCAAACTCTTCTTGAAAGGTGATTAGATGTCCCTGCCTGTTTTTCTCTCTGCTGTTTTTGCTGTTGCAATTTTAGAATTTTTTTAATACTGGTAGCCAGATTTTGTTCATTTTCATGGTTTCTTTCTTTCTGTTGAAATTGTCCACATGTTTGTGGATTTCAATGGCTTCTCTGTGTAGTCTGACATGGTGGTTGTGAGAGTGGTCCAGCATTTCTGTGTTCTCAAATAAAATGCTGTGTCCAGGTTGGTTCATCAGGTGCTCTGCTATGGCTGATTTCTCTGGTTGAAGTAGTCTGCAGTGCCTTTCATGTTCCTTTATTCGTGTTTGGGCAATGCTGCGTTTGGTGGTCCCTATGTAGACTTGTCCACAGCTGCATGGTATACGGTAGACTCCTGCAGAGGTGAGAGGATCCCTCTTGTCCTTTGCTGAACGTAGCTTTGTTGGATTTTCTTGGTGGGTTTGTAGATTGTTTGTATGTTGTGTTTCCTCATCAGCTTCCCTATGCGGTCAGTGGTTCCCTTGATGTATGGCCGGAACACTTTTCCTCCTAAAATTGCAACAGCAAAAACAGCAGGGAGAAAAACAGGCAGGGACATCTAATCACCTTTCAAGAAGAGTTTGCTCCAGGCACTGTCAGCCCATTGTATGCTAATCAAGGTGGTCAGTGGAAAGACTCACACCCAGCCCAACTTACAAAAGCCCTTTGTCTCACCCTGGTCATTCCACAGATATATAAACCCCTCTTTTCCCATTTCCAGCAGACCTCACCTCTGAGGATGCTTGCCATAGATGCAGGCGAAACGTCAGGAGAAATGCCTCTAGAACATGGCCATATAGCCCGAAAAAACCCACAAGAACTGAATCATCATCATCATCTTTATTTATACCCCGCCACCATCTCCCCGATGGGGACTTGGGGCGGCTTACCTGAGGCCAAGCCCAGACAGCAAATTACAGTAAAATAAAACCGAAAACCCAAACAATAAACAACAACAACATAATTACATAAAACATAGCAATATAGAATTACAATAGGCACAGTGACAATGGGCGGGCTACATGTAATAGTTAAAAGAGAGACTGATTAAAACTGATTAAAACTCAGGCAAGATAAGAAAGAGACAGATTATTTGCGGAGGAAGGCTTATTATAGTGGGGTTGTGGAATCAAGCTTTCCCACAAAGGGGGGGGGGACATGTACTCCAATGACAAAACATTGAGGCTAAGCAATAGTGTGAGAATGTAAACCTATTTATCAAATGTCCAGCAGAAAAGCCAGGTTTTAAGGTTCTTTTTAAAGGTTTCTAGGGTAGGGGCTTTCCTAATTTCTCCAGGTAGTGAGTTCCAGAGTCAGGGGGCCACAGAGGAAAAAGCTCTCTCCCTTGTACTTACCAGGCAAGCTTGTGAAATTGGCAGGGGCGAAAGAAGGGCCTCCCCAGAAGAACAGGGGGCCTGAGTTGGTTCATGGAGGGAGATACGGTCACGAAGGTAGGCGGGTCCTAAACCGTTTAGGGCTTTATAGGTGATAATCTGTACCTTGAATTGGGACCGGAAAATAAACGGCAGCTAGTGGAGCTCCTTAAACATGGGAGTCAACCACTCCCTATAGCTAGCCCGAGTTATTAATCTGGCTGCTGAATGCTGGACAAGTTGTAGTTTCCGGGCCGTCTTCAAGGGTAGCCCCACGTAGAGTGCATTACAGTAGCCCAGTCTAGAGGTAACTAAGGCATGGACCACCAGGGTCAAGTCAGACTTCGCGAGGTAAGGTCGCAGTATTCTCTAGAGCAGTGGTTCTCAACCTGGGGTCCCCAGATGTTTTTGGCCTTCAACTCCCAGAAATCCTAACAGCTGGTAAACTGGCTGGGATTTCTGGGAGTTGTAGGCCAAAAACATCTGGGGACCCCAGGTTGAGAACCATTGCTCTAGAGAGTATTCTCTAGAGAGAGCTATTGGGCTACTGAAGATGTATTTTCCATATATTTTCTGCGGGTTCCTGCCAGCATTTACATTTTATAGAAAATGGATGAGCAAGAAACAGGGAATGGAGGCTGTCTTGTGTGATTTATTTTTCTGTGAGCTAGCTGTGTACTACATTCTGCTCCAACAACTTTCCCATTTAACCTGAACAAAATTGAAAATCAATATTAAAAGCTGGAACCTAAACATTGTGGAACTGTTCCCAGTTTGTGTATTTTATCCTACAAGTTACACATGGCTACAAAATGTACAGAACAGATTCCCTTATTGGGCCAACTAAAATGAACAAAATGCATTAAAGTTTCACTGGCTTCTTAGTCAAAAGAAAAAAAAAGATATTCAAAATAATGTGGATACATTGGCACTGATGAAAACATCCATAAACAATCACGATGAAACTTTGTGATTGCATAATGATTCCATTTTGCACATATTTAAATTAATCAATGTATGCTCCTGTGCGCATCGTCAATCTGTGAAGTGAAAACAACAAATTGAAATGAGCATCCACAGAATGAGTAATTGTTGCCTAGAATTCAAGTGCTACCAATTTATTTATGCTCATGGGTTGTTTTTTTTTTTTTAGGGTTTTTTTTTGTCGTGTCAGGAGCGACTTGAGAATCTGCAAGTCACTTCTGATGTGAGAGAATTGACAGTCTGCAAGGACATTGCCCAGGGGACGCTCGGATGACTTGATGTTTTTATCATCCTTGTGGGAGGTATAAAGCTCGTATATGGCACCACTAATATATCTTGACAGGGTCAAACAAAACCCACCAACTGTCCCTCCAAAAATAAAGAATTCACTGGCACCAATATAAATGTTATGAGGGGATGTCTCTTTAATTAACGTCCGCTGCCACCAACACTGAAAGGTACAGGAACACCCTAGCTGTTTAAATAATAAAAAGGGCTTTTAAGACCACCAAGCACTGTGTCTTCTTATTTGCTTCTTTAAAGGAAAACAATTGAAATTGTTTGAGAAAGGGACTATAGCCACAAAAGGCACACTTGACTCAGGCTTCTTAAGTTTTAAAATAAACAAGGAAAGTTTATTGATGAAAATACAGAAAGAAGTAAATGCTGTTTAGAATCTTGGCGGTTACAGAGAAATTCTGGTTTGTCTTGCAAGCGTAATGGTTACATGTAAATGGTTCTTTCTTTGTTACAACACAGAGATTTTTCTTCTCTTTAAACCAAGTACTCTTGACAGGAACTGAATCTCTGTCAAGATACAACTGTAGCTTAGCTACCCTAAACTGTGGCCTAGCTAACTACAAAACCAGCTATCTCTCCCTGATAGCTTTCCAGTTTGCTACAGCTTCCCTTGCTGGCAAACCTAAGGCAAACTGCCTTCTTAACTAATCTCAAACACACGAACTCCTAAACTACCTTCCTACTCTAATTGCTAACAACAACAGACTGACTGAAAAAGCCTCTTTCTTTCCCTCCAAACCTTGCTAAACTCCGCCCCCTTTCTGAACCAATCCTGGCTGTTCTAATGCTAACTCAGGCCTAGGACACTCCCCCTCTCTAAAATGGTGTTTTCCCTGAACTAAAATGGCTCCTGCTGCCCTCTGCCAGGCCTACTAAAGCTGCAACTAACTGGCCTGCTGTTCCTAGGCCCTGCCATCCAGGCTGGAAAGGTAAGGGATCTTTACAGGAGGCTTCTCTCATGTCCCCGCATGAGGAGCTGGAGCTGATAGAGGGAGCTCATCCACCTCTCCCCGGATTCGAACCTGCGACCTGTCGGTCTTCAGTCCTGCTGGCACAGGGGTTTAACCCACTGCGCCACCGGGGGCTCCCCTCTTTTGAGGGGCGTACCCCTTATTTTCCAGATGTGCAATGGCAGCTGGAGATCCCAT